TCAATCCTCGGGAGCGGGTAACGGTTCTTCACCGTTACCTTGTTCAGCTCCCGGTAATCTATACACATCCGATGCGACCCGCCCTTCTTTTTCACAAACAGGATCGGGGCTCCCCAGGGTGGACTTCTCGGTCTAATGAATCCCTTGTCTAACAGCTCCTGTAGCTGTGTAGACAACTCCTGCATCTCAGGAGGAGCCAACCGATACGGTGCCTTGGCTATCGGAGCCGCACCAGGAACTAGGTCGATCCTGAACTCTACCTAACGCTCCAGAGGTATTCCAGGAAGCTTCTCCGGGAACACATCATCGTAGTCTCGCACCACTAGAATTTCGTCCACCGTCACCTTACCCGCCTCCCGGGTATCCACAACATATGTGACATATCCTGCGCAACCCTGCTGAAGGTAGCGCCTAGCTCTCGCTACTGAACATATTGTGGGTCCAAGTTGTGGCCTCTCGCCATAGATCACCAACTCTCCCCCACTTGGGGTCGTGATTCGCACTAGCTGTTGTGCCCAATCTATCACCACCCACTAGGGCTTAACCAGTCCATACCTATAATCACCTTGTTCCCACGCAACGGAATGGGAACCAAATCCACCAAAGTAGCGCACCTCGAATAACCTCAGAACGCAATCTCTGAACACCGCTGATGCCCGCACCGATCGATCATCGGCGATCTCTACCTCTAAAGGGCAATCCAACATGCCTGAAGACTCAGAAAACTTTTTGCTAAGCGCAAGAGAAACAAACGATCGGGTGGCACCCGAGTAAAACAACACCTGAATAGGGATACCGTTCACATGGAACGATCCTAAGGCATATACACAGAGCACATATCAATAATATAATCGCATGAAAATGAAATAGAGGGAAAGAATCATACCCGTCACCACATCGGGTGCGATGCGTGCCTCCTCGGTAGTCAACTGAAACGCGCGGCTCCTCACCATTGGAGCCTCTACCTTGCCCTGCCGGCCATCAGTGATCTGCAGGGTGGCTGGAGTTGGCACTTTTACTGGCACCGATACTGCTATCAACTGGGGGCAACTGGCCTTCTTGTGTCCCCTCTGGTTGCAATGGAAACATAGCAACTCAGACGTCTGTATCACAGGCGCAGGGGCGGTACAATCCCTGCTGAAGTGCCCTGACTTGCTGCACTTATATCAGCCTGACGATCCCAACTTGCACGCTCCCTTATGCGCCTTGCCGCATTTCCTACAGCGGCCCCGCCCCTGTTGGCCTTACGGCCCCGCATTTGGTCCCTTGGGCTTCTTCCCCGAAGCCCCCATAACATGACCCTCTTCCACCTTCCTCTTCCGGATGTACTCCAGATCTATCTCCCTCTCCCTTGACCTAGCAATCATAGAGTCCAGGGTAGGGCAAGATGAAAAACTAACATGCTCCTGAACATCAGCTCGTAACATGTCATGATAGCGGGTCCTCCTCATATCCTCATCACCCGCGTACTAGGGCACCAACAACGCCCTCTCCCGGAACTTAGCGATAATCTCCACCACAATCTCCGTCGTCTGCCTCATATCTAAAAACTCCCTGGCCAGCTGCTGAAGCTCGACAGCTGGTGCAAACTCTGCCCTGAACTTGGTCATGAAGTCCGACCAGGTCATAGCCTCGACAGTCGAGGCTCCCAACGAGTCACCAATGGACTCCTACCAATCCCTAGCTCGATCCCTCAAACATCCTGCTGCAAATCTCACCTTCGACCCCACAGGGTAAAAGCTAGTCAACTGTGAAAACTCAATGTCTGCAATCCATCGCCTGGCAGCTATGGGATCCTTCGCCTTGTGAAAATCCGGCACACCACTCCCCCTGAAGTCCTTAAAGGACAGTGTGCGAGATCCCAACTAGCCAGATGCCATGTCGCTCTTGAATGCCCGAAGGCGATCCTCCATCAGCTCTCATCCACCGGCTTGGAACCTAATCCCGAACCCGATCCCTCCCCTGAACTGCCAACTGCTAGTCTAGGGCGTAATACCACCATTCTGAAACACAACATAATAAACATTAGGAACACTGATATATCTCGGGGAATCACTACTACCACAAGCTTCCTGATCTCATCTTAGCTTTCCTTGATTCGAGTACGGATCCTCTGCTTCCAGTAGTACGGGCCCATACTACCTTCCATATCTATCCGTACTTTCCTCAAGTACTGCCTTGACTCCACCAAGTCACTATTACTGCTAATAATCTTTGCTACTCCCATCCTAGGCTTGCCATAGGGATTTCTCTGACTATACCCAATCCAGTCCTCAGTTGCTGAAAGCCTCCTTATGATGCCAATTAGCCATCACCTGAATACCATCACATGCGGCGAGGCTCATATAATCCTTCAAGTAGAAGACTCGTCCCTACAACGGTTAGACTCAGACAAGAGCTACGCAATAGGTCCAAGTCTAGCACTCTCAGATTATTCAACCCTATCCGCATATGACGTGACACATTCACCTAATGGCTAACTCCCATCACTTAGAGTCCCACAAAGTACAAAGCAATCAACATTCAGACGTAGGAGACTACTCAAGCAATTCTATCCTTATAATGGGAAACTGTACAAGCGTACAATGCTAAGCTCATGATATCACGCATAACCTAAATAGGCTATCCTACTGCTGTCTACTCAATCCTAGCATGAAATTTTCATTTACTGAAGCACAATAAGCAGGCACATAAGGCATCACTCTTAGATCCTTAGTCCTATTCTAGCATGTTGTTCTACTGAAACAGATAAACATACATAAACTTGTATAGGTACATTGGGGAATACTTACTTGAGCTCGGCCGGTCGCGCACATCACACACTTTGTTCCTTTTTAAGATTCTTTAGTTAATCTTTTAGAAAACATTTTCTTTTTCAAAATCTGGTAATCCCTTGATTTGAGTTCAGACACCCCTGAAGGTGTGTCCTAATCCCTCAAACCAGGGCTCTGATACCAACTTGTAACATCCCAAAAATTATGGACCAAAAATTTCATTTTTAATTAAGTGATTTGCAAAAACGTTAGTAACAAAATATCGTTCAACCATATCATTTAAAAAAACATGTCCCGCGTTTGTAAACCAGAATGTAAACCATAATAATATCAGAGTACAAATCCAAGAATGTCTCATAGTGGGAAAACAAGAGCGTGTGTGTGATATGCCGCTACCGCGCCAGCTCCTTCCCCTTAGCTGAAGAGGTACCTGAAACAACAACTAAAAACCGTAAGCATGAAGCTTAGTGAGTTCCCCCCATCGTACCGCATACCAAATGACCACATAACATACAAATATTGGCAGGCATATCTGGGTGCCCGACCTACCCCTTCGGTCCTCTCGACCAGATACTGACTAGCATATCGGGGTGCTGGTCTCCCCTTCGGTCCTCTCGACTGGATACTGACTAGCATATATGGGTGCTGGTCTCCTCTTCGGTCCTTTCGACCGGATACTGACTAGCATATATGGTTGCTGGTCTCCCCTTCGGTCCTTTCGATCGGATACTGACTAGCATATCTGGGTGCTGGTCTCCCCTTCGGTCCTTTCGACCAGATACTGACTAGCACATCTGGGTGCTGGTCTCCCCTTCGGTCCTTTAGACCGGATTTTGGGGACTATTTCACCCCCTACCACTACCACATAACCCGTATCACATAATCTATTCAGCATGGTTGGGCATGACTGCCCCTTCGGCCCTATCGACCGGTAACCTGGGGACTATCTCCCCTACTATCACTAGCACATAGCATCATATCATACAAACACATAAACATAACAAAGGTAGTAGCAACCCTAGATGAATATCACAGAGATAATTATCTAATCATACAATTCCTACTAGTGCGCCGACATTGTGGCCTTAGACCCACTGCTACTAGAAGGTAACTCACCTCGAAGTAGCTGCTGAAAGTTTGCTTGCTGAGTGCCTGACTGCTGAACCAGAACCCCCCGGCTACAAATTCCATAAACACTAAGTCAGATACTGATAACTAATCTTAGGGTAAAATGACTATTTTAGCCCCCCCCCCCCCCCGGGTCAAAGTCAACATCCCGGTCAAAGTCAAAATCCTGGTTGACCGGACTCACCGAGTTGGCTCGCCAACTCGCCGAGTCCCTTCCATCTGTTCTAGTTCTACACCCGATCTACTCGTCTAGCTTAGCGAAGACTCGACGCGTTCTTCCTCGATGCATACATACTAAGTCCAAGTTCATCCGACTCGCCGAGTTGCTCATCCAACTCGCCGAGTTCACGGCTATCTTCATAGGACTCGTCGAGTTCACGACTATCTTCTAGGGCATGCTTATCACGTAAAGTTGCAAACTTTACGTGCATGCATACCTTTAGAGGCTTCAAATGTCCAAACTAAGCTCTTAATGGGTTCTAAGCTCAAGAGGGACCTTAATCACCAATATGACCGAAACTTAGCTTTTCAAGAAGCTAATGAGAGTCCAGATCTGAAGTATAACCCAACCATAACGTTTCTCTTCAAGGATTTGGGGTTTTAGGGCTTAAAAGCAACAATTCAGGGACAAACAAGATCTAATAGGTAAATAACCAAGATGGAAACTTTATTACCAGAATGGACGACCACAAATGAATGTGTTCTGGATCTAAGTCCCCTTCCTTGACCTCTTCAACTTCTCCCTTCTTCCACTTGCTCCAAAGTGCACCAAAAGTCCCTTCACAAGGAAACAATCACTCAAACTCACCAATGGAGGCTAGGGTTTTCGATAAGGATTGCTCTGAGGGTGATGGGGGATGAGATGGGGCTACAAGGATGTTTAAATAGGGTGCAAACCCTAAGGATTAGGGTCTCCTCCTGATTGGCCTACTCACCGAGTCCAGGAGTGGACTCGCTGAGTAGATCACTTAAAGCCCGCATCCAACTCGACATCTACTCGGCGAGTTAGGGGTACAACTCGCCGAGTAGCTCTTCCAAAAGAAACATTTAATCAAAATAATTATGTACCAGGAATGGGGCGTTACAATATTACTAAAGATGGCATTCAGCAAATTCACTAATGAAGAATCCAATCCATTGCTTATTGATATTGAAGATGAAGACAATAAAGGAAACGAAACAGTACAACCTCGTATTAGAAGAGAAGGACAAAAGAAATGTTCAACACCTTAGAAGAAAACTAAAAAACAAACTGGTGGTGGTGATGATTAAATGAAAATTAAAATGTTAAATATCAATTGGAATCTATATTGATTATGTGTCTTATTTTTTGGACAGGTGTGGAGCAACGTGTTAATCGCACACCAGATAATTCAATGCAAAGGGATCTTAAAGTTGTAGTTTTGAGCTTAGATTCAAGTAATGTATTTGTTTAAAATTAAATTTATTTAGAGTTTATTTTTGTAGTGGGTTTTAATAACTTGTATTGTTTTATATTTATTAATAGAAAAGAATGTGAAACCCAAAGTCAATGTGAAGAAGTTTGCTGCAGGAAAAGCAAGGGTTTCAAAATCTAAAAAAAAAAAAGATACAAAAACAAAAAGGTATCAATGATGATTTCATGTAATGTAAGTTGTATATCAAAGTGTCTTCAGTTATGATTATATTGTCTACATTTTGGCAGGTTTGATTGAAAGTGTTGACATGACAGAAGATAATGGAATACATAGGGAAAATGAATTGAGAACAAAAAGATGGTTTGATAGATGTAACATAAAAGGTGATGAAGTTGTTGTTTTAAGCTCATGTTCATGTAATGATTTATTTTTAATTAAATTTAGTATAGTATTATTTTTATAATTTAGTTGTAGTCATTCCTTGTGTTAAATATGTATTAACAGGAAAAGATAATGTTACTGTCAAAAAGCTTAATGAAGACGAAGACTCTGATTTTGAAGATGCTAAACCTGTGCTTACAAGGAAAAAGAGAATGCATTATACTTCTTTCAAAAATGATGACAAAGAAAATGTGAAGAAATTTAAAAGACAAAAGAATAAAGAAGGAAATGTAGTGAAAGCAAGGAAAATGCCTAAAGTTGTAGGAAATGATGCAGAAAAAGCAAGGCGAATACAAGTACGGACATCTCCAAATGTTTTGTACAGTTATATGCATAACCTTAGCAAGGAACAGGAAGCATATATTTCTTATATTGGTCTGGGGCATTTGTTGAATATGAAAGTGGAATTATGGGGCATTATACTGTAAGGAATTTTGATGCAGATAGGATGGTACTCAACCTTCATCATGGAGAGATACCAATTAATCGGAAGGTTATTCACGAAATGTTGGGTCTGCCTCTGGGAAATGTTACAATAAAGTCCATGGCTTATAGAGAAGTCACAGACGACACGATAACTGTTTGGAAGAAACAATTCGATGATGAAGATAATATTAGACCAAGGGAAGTTCAACAAGTTATTATGCAAACAACACGTGCGGATTTACTCTTTAAAGTAAACATCTTTGTCCTGTTGTGTAATATACTAGGTCAGTCGATGAGCATAGGAACATGTGACCTGTCCATGCTATCAAAACTCACGAAAGACCTGGATCTAAGTGACATTGATTGGTGTGGATATGTTTTTGATTGCCTTAAGGAGAAAAAAGTGCATGGAATCCAAACATCAATAAAGGATTCTATGTTGGGCCAATTATATTACTGCTGGTAAGAGTTGTTTTAAATTCAGTTGTCATTCAATATTGGTTGACTTATGTGTGCAGATTCATTAAAGTGTATTTAATTAATACAATATTTATTTGTCTTTGTTGTAGTTGTTATACGTAGAAAGTGTTCGATGCGATTCAATGAAGATTGTAGGAGGCAGACCAGCAATATGTTTTTGGAATGTTGATAAACTGCGTGAGCGAGAAAGAGTAAAGAACCATTTCAAGTCATCGATGAAGCATTGAGAACTAGTAATGTAGGGCAAGAAAAAGTTCAGGTAGTATTTTATTATATTGAATAATGCATATGAAATTTAAAATTTGTTATTTTGTATAATCTAAATTAATTATATTCATACATGTTGACAGGGAAATGATGCAGGAGGTGTGACAATTAGTGATAGAAGGTGTAAGGTATTAATATAATATAATCATTAATAAATAATAAGGTAATAGTACAAAAACTAATAGTGTATTAATTTTAGTAGGGAAATGAAGGAGAGGAAATTTTTAGTGGAAATGGGAAAGTGTTGAGGTAGTTTACTACTTATTCACATTTGAATTATGAGTTACTATAATATTAAGTAATACTAAATGACATATTAATGTTTTTATTTGGTTTGTAACGTAATTATATTGTGGTGACTGTATTAGACAATTATTTCAACAATAAAGGAGATGCACGACATGCTAGTGCAGCAAAAGAAAGTGTTGGAAGACAAAATAAATGATGTTGTCAAGAAATATCCTGAGAATCAGTTGGTTAAGGAATCGAAAAACAAAGTAAATGATTTGTTTAGTGAAGTTTCCGCATTAGAGGAACCAGAATAATCTCAATGGTGGTATGATAACACGGCTGAAATTGAACGTACCCTGATTCTAGCAACATCTCACAAACAGTTTGACAACTCTCCGATAGCAAAATGTAGTATTCAGATGTCACAGGAATATGCAGACTTCATGAATAGATCTAGAAGAAAAACTTTTCATACTACACCACCATCTAAAATGGAAATGCTAATTCCTGTCTGTAGTACCATTCAACAATGATAAAAAGGGGTTTAATAGAAGAGGGTACATGCCTCGAATGAAATCCGAATATCTGAAATCTCCTTACATTATGCGGGCTGTTGATATCATCAAAGGAGTTCCACGACAAGAAAAACGTGTAGCAGAATGGATATTCTCTCTCCAAGGAGAGCCAAAGTAAGATGCATTTAAAACAATGGTTTCTTTTCTTTTCTTTTTCTTTTTTTTTTTAATTACAAAACAATTAAAACAAATAAAGAAAATGTCAAAAATAAATAATAAGGGCAAAATAGTCCTTTCAAAATTTCAAGACCCAAAACGAAAGAAATTCTTGATTTTTGACATTCCATGCAAGTTGAAAACTTTTTGGACCTCATCCAAAGTTTTTTGCAAACCACAATGACCAATTTGTTAGTTTTGTCTAGATAAAATTGTCCATAGGTTAAACAAAGATGCAATAGTTTATAATACACAATCAAATAAATGTATATATACTGACCAAAAATAAAAAATAGCAATGTACTAAAAAAGAGTTGTAAATAAGAACTGCTTTTTTTAACTGATTTTAAAGCAAAAATAGCAACATATACACATACTTTCGATTTTGTATTTTATTTTATTTTATTTTTTTTTGTAAAAAGCATATCTTATAGTGAAATTTTGCAGAAAAAAGGAATGATGAACTCACAAGAGATGTCTTTAGAAAACAGAAACTACATTGGTATTAAAGTATTTTCAGAAAAAGGTTATAAATATTGGTTTACGAAGATGAACTAACCAGATTTGGTATGTTGTCTTCTTTGCAGAAATCGTATTGTTGAAGATGAGGAATCACAATAAAATTCGATAATGGGAATGAAAGTCGAAGACGTATTAAATGGAGTCGGAATATTTAGCATTAGAATTTGAATTCAAAATGCTGATTTTTTGGGATTCTTTGAAATCTTTAAAAGAATTCAAAAAAATATAGGATTTGTAACCAAAGATTTAGAACGGGAATTGATATTGTTTCCAAAAAAAACATGGAATTTGAAACTGCAACATTCAATAATTTCAGAAAAATTCGGGATTATATTAATAGATATCAAACTATTCTGATTTATTTATGATTATTATATGATTTAATTCAATCGGAATTATATGAATTTTGCATAAGATGACACGTGGCAAAGTGGTAAAGTAGAATAGAAACACTTGGTAAAATTTGGTTTTATTTATTAGAGGAAGGGAAAGGTAGATATACTATTGTACTGTTTTTTTTTTTAACTAAAGTATTGTTTTATTTATTAGAGGAAGGGAAAGGTAGATATACTATTGTACTGTTTTTTTTTAACTAAAGTATTGTTTTAAACGAAAATGTTTATAAGATAAGTTATTAAAATCAAACTCTTTTCTACAAGTGGACTTCCATTAAGGTCGACGAAGTGGGAAACGATGAGCACCAAGGAATAACGCGTGGCGTGGTTTAATATGATTGGACCGAGTTTCTTATAAAAACTATCTCAAAATATCTCCTTTCTCCATTGTTCTACAAAAGCTCCCTTCACATTTTCTCTCCAATCTTCCAACTCGAACCTTCAAGAACAAGAACAACAACGATGGGTAGTTTTGAATCGCAAGCGAAGATGAGAGGTTATGAGATCAAGAGGTTCTTCAGTAAAGGGGGGAAGACTATTACAAATTCCCTCAAAAAAGGCTGGTTTAAGATCAAGCACCTTCGCAAATGATTTCTCTGCGCTGTTTATATTCAATTGATTCTATCGCGATCAGTTTTCGATTTTATAGGTCAAGCATATTAAAATGATTTGCAGTTTCTTCTCCATGTTCATCTTCATATTTATGGTTTGATTTATATGTTTCTGATGTAATTACTGAAGTTTGGATTTTAAACTTATATTGTGGGATTTGTGATTTTTGTTTCGATTTATAGTTTTGTATCATTCGTTCGTTATGTAATCGATTTAAAACTGATATTTTTGATCTTTTACAGGTTCAGTATTTAATAAATTTAGTAAGAGCTGTGGTTGAAGTTTTGGATTTGTTCATCAAATTTTAATTAGTTTTTATGATCGTGAAGGATCATGTGACGACAAGTTGTATTTGATGATCGAGACGTTAAAAATTAAAATTGTGAGGGGCAAAATATTATAATATTGATAAGATATTTGTCTGAATTTGTTAGTATACACGGCTTATTTTGTATTTGGTAAGGATCGGTAATTTTTTAAACAAGTTGCATCTGCTTCTTTCAAGTTTCAACCCTTCAATAATTTTCTTGAGAGCTAAAAATTTACACAACCGATCGAAAGGTAACTTGTTCATATCTAATCATTAAATTTTATTGTTCCCATTTACCTATAATTGGTTATAATAAAGAAAAAATATGAACAATTTTAAATAATTAAATATTAAATTAAACATGAAAAAAGTTCAGTCACTGAATATAAACAAAGTTAAAAGTTTATCATCGTTGTAAGTCCTTGTCCATTTTTGTAATAATTCTTAGTTTATTTTGTCTATTGATATTGATAGTAATTATTTAGATTAATAATTTTGATTTCAGTTATTACGATTTGTATTGTAAGAAGTACTACAAAATAGAATCTTTATTATATAATTATATTGTAGTTCATGGTTTTAATCATAATCCATGAAATAAATTTTTACCTAGAGTTTCTTTATTCATTTCATGTTGTATGTTTCTATTTATAATTACAATACAATTTTATTTTATGTTCTATGTTTCTATTTATAATTACAGAACAATTTTACATGCCGTAGACGTGTGTTCGCGCAAAACGTCGATGATATCTTTTGGTGAATAGTTTCTTATCGATAAATAATTATTTGATTTTTTTTATTAGTTTGTAATAAAAAATTATCACTTTTAAATAAAATATTTATGTTTATACCTTATATTTATATTACATGTTTATACTATTGATGCAAATTAATTAATATTGATCTCTAATTTAAAAAAATATAAGTTAATTTATATGCATGAATTTAATATTTTTAAATTTTCATTTTTTCCAAATGAATCACCTTTCTTAATTCAAGTTTTCAAATGTTGATAGGTATTAATGAATTGTTTATGCATAATTGATTTGTACAAAAAAAAAATTAGAACTTATCTCTTTTAAAATTTAATATATGACTGACATGTTTATAATGTAATATAATATTATATATATATATATATATATATATATATATATATATATATATATATATATATATATATAGAGAGAGAGAGAGAGAGAGTTAGGATCATATGTATTTGGACATGTATTGTGTAAATATATAACTCAACATCAGCTAATCATTTTAACAACCTAGAAAAGGGTAATATAGTAAATTAACATAATAATCATTGAATTATAGTTTAAATTATTCCATTAATTAAGGTAACTGATTAATCATCCTAATTTTATCTCATTCTTTCTCTTTCTTCTCATCTTATACAGGACGATCGATTCAATTGTGAACATTAAATCATTTGGATTGACGTCTTCAAGCGAAAATCATTTGCATTTGTTGAAGCCTTATACGATCGGAATTCAAATAATTCAGTTCTTATTTTTTAATTTTTCTGTTAAGGGATGAAATTGGTGCAATCCCTCCTGGTGCGATTTCTAGGTTTCCTTGATTCCACCATGTACGACACTACCTGTGCACATTATATACAAAATATCCATTTCAAGCTATATCAAGAGATATAAGGACATGAAAGTTCAAATGAAGCATTATCACTGACATATTAACTATGGCATATCACCACTAAAGGTAAATGTGGCGACTCTTGATATCTTCAGCGGTGACATATGCTGACTGTTATGCCCTTAAATTGTAACACCGTAAAAATTTAAGATAATTTTTCACATTTCCAAACACATTCATTAATAAAATCTCATTGTATCGTATCATTGTTCACAAAACATTTCTCAAGATCAAATCATAATAAACTCTGCGGGTG